AGAGAGAGAGAGAGAGAGAGAGAGAGAGAGAGAGAGAGAGAGAGAGAGAGAGAGAGAGAGAGAAGAACAGACAAATTTACAGCAAACATCTGTCATGAGTTTTGTTGGCTGCATTCTGGGCATCACAAGAACAGGAAGGAAAATGATGTAAGAAACAGGTACATTTTGAGAGGAAATAAGAAAAGGGGAATGACAGAATCGTATTATTCTCTTTTATTCAAAATATCAGTTAAGAAAACCAGATACAAAAGAGATTAAAAATAATAAGTATGTGGTACAAGGGTCTACCTTTCTGCCTGGGAGGCAGGAGCAACAAGAGTTTTCAAAAAAAAAAAAAGGTAGTCGATGGGGAGTAACCATTTCAAAAACCCCACGCAGGACGAAGTGACCTCACAGACAACTGGCTGGTTAATGCCTGTGTCAGACTGACTTAGGAAATGTTTCAGTGACATTCAGTGGTTTTCTGTAATAGTCTGAAATTGAATATTCGAATCAAATTACACCTCAAACAAAAGGGTTCCTCTGACTTTCCTTTAAATGCATCTGAGTGTGGTCCTGTAAGAAAACCAGCCAAAAACCAAAACTCCCTCACATTCATCCACAGATGTGAACTGAGCCTGAGCTGTTTAAGTTTCAGCTCACTCTGACCTGCTGGACATGTCATGCTTAATGTGACAGAGACCGCAGTGACCTGCAGGCAGSGGAATGAGAGCCGCGAGGCAGACAAACAGACAAAGACACGAAAAAGAGCAATTTATCATCTTTAAAACTTTCCTGGGGAGGGAGAACAAAACGGTGTGATGTCGCACAGCGCCCTCAGATGATGAAGCTTTTATCACACAACAGGCTCCGACACTGACCTGCTGAGGAAGCTGGAGAAGGACAGGCGGACGGGGTATCCATAACGGATCACGTGCACCATGTCGAGCACACCGATGTACTGCAGCTGGGTGGACACATGGGAGCTGTCAAACGTGTCAGGCTGACCGCTGGAGTTGGGGCGCACACACTCCACAAAGTGAGGGGTGCAATTCTGCAGTTTACTCATCATCTCTGACAGCGAGTTCTGTGAGAGAAAACAGTGAGAGAAGAGACAGCCTTTAAAAGGATAGTTCATATCTTTAAAAATAGGGCTCTGATAASTTATCTTTTGCATCATGTATTTTTGCTAAAGCTCTCTATATATTTATAACCAAACAACTGACAACAGTGTCCAATGTTTAAAACATAATAATAATATTTTTGCCTCCTTACAGAAATGCATGTTTTAAAAAACTCTATTTTTTTTGGCCACATCTAATTGTTTCAGATCAATTTTCTCATCAGACAAAAACAACAGAATAAATACAAATTGCAGTTTTCAAATGATAATCTATTAAGAAAAAAGCTATTCAAACTAGCCTGGCCCCATGTGAAAATGTAATTGGCACCCTTGTTAAATCTTGAATTAACTTTGAGCTTTTTTTTTTATCTGGGTTCAGTTTCACCAGCCACACCCAGGCTTGATGACTGCCAGACTTGTAGAATTAAGAAATCACTTAAACAGAGGCATCATACACAAATGAAGAAAACACAGCGTAAGTGGTAAAACTTTTCAGGGGCGGCTGGCCGACCGACCAAAATTACATGAGTGCATCAATGTCTTATCCAGGAGGTCTGAACAACTAACCCACATCATCTGAAGCACTGCAGGCCTCATCTGCCTCAGTTAAGATCAGAGACGAAGGGCTAAAATGGCCTCCACGAGACAGTTTCAATGTCAAAACGATTTTTGACCAAAAATAAAACAAAGCCCCATATCACATGTGGCAAAATTTTTTCTTTGAGGAGCCCTATAATGTTTGAGAAAATGTTTGGCAAACCAAAAAATGTTGGACTTTTTAGGTGTGCATTACATCTGGCACGCTGAAAAAAACCCATCATGCAGGCAGTGAAAAGTTATGGTGTGATGGTTGCGGACTGTTTGCTGCTTTAGGACCTTGATGACATGCCATATAAGATGATACCACGAATTCTGCTTAGCAGAAAATTATGCCAACCGTTTGTGACCTTAAAGTAGACATATCATGCTTTTAAAACATTTTCCACATTTAAATAATCCAGTTGGAGTCTATATAAAGAGGAACTGCAATGCTTGAACTTGAATTCCTCTTTTTTATTACTCCACAAGCCCCTCTTTCACCCCTTTTCTGAGATAAGTCTCAGATCAACGTATTTTCAGGCTGTCTCTTCAAATCCAAATGAGATGTGTCACATCTGGATGCCCTCCAGCTTCCAGAGTGGTCCATTCAGAGGCGATTGCTCTGAAACTGCAAGGGAAGCTCAGCTTCCCCTAAAATGTAAAAAAATAAAAATAAAAAAAACATTCAAATATATACTGTTGTGTGTACATGCCATTGACTAAATATGCATCACAACATGTTCAACTTTTGTTCAGAATCAGCTACTTATCACTGGTAACGACACGTCTTTCCTCACTCATTCCTGCAGCTTCGCAGAGCTTTAAACAGTCAGACGCTGAGCTTCCACAGAGCTCATTAGTGATGCAAAGACTGCAGCTAAACGAGATGAGTCATTGGATAAATGTACCGCCCGCTGAGCATCTCTGGGCGTCTATGGGACAGTGGGCTGGCTCGGACGCTCAGCTTCTGCATGATGACTGGATGATCTGTCGGAGGCTGAATCCCGTTTTAATTGACAGCGAAATGAGCGAATCAGTGATCTTTTGGTGTAACCATTCCGTGGGAGCAGTTTTTACTTTGGTTTCTGTTCTGAGTTGAACCGGAGACTTTATTAWTCCTTTTAGCAGCATTTCTTTGTTAAAAATGACTAGCGACAAATCGAGCTTCTATTTCTGGTGGTTGTTTTGTAGCTGCTTGTGTTTGGAGAATCTTTCTGACTTCTATTGCAATTTCTGTCCAGCGGCTGCTGCTGAGCCCCTCCACCGTCACAAAGCACTCACAGACGGACRCACTTCAATCTAGCCTCATGCCAGTAGCAAGCTGCACATAAAAGCAGTTTGAATGTTGTGGACCGGATTTTGGTGAAGCCATTTGATAGTCTTCCTTATGAAGAAAAACTTAGAGTTAAGCTGCAGGGCTGATCAACTCCTCAGATTAATTTGGTGCAAATAGTGGGGAAAAGCAACAGGTCTTTTCAGCTGTCCTGGTATGACAAAGTGAGTTGGCTGCTGTAAAACGCTATAGAAAAATCTGGAAAGTGATTATAAAAGCATTGGATCAATTAATTCCTTTAAAAAAATCATCAAAACAAAATTGTCAAAGAAATATGAAATTGTTTAATTTGTATTTGT